GGGGCGGACACGGCGGGGACACCGGAGCGGGCAGGGAGGCGAAACCGGGGCGGGCACGGGGTAGAAACCGGGGCCAGCAACGGGGCGACACCGGGACGGGAGCGGCGGGGTCACCGGGGCGGGTGCAGTGGGGACACCGCAAGGGGAACGGCGGGGACACCGGGGCGGGAACCGGGGCCGGCAGGGGAACGACACCGGGACGGGAACGGCGGGGACACCGGGACAGGCACCGGGGCCGGCAGGGGAACGACACCGGGGCGGGAATGGGGATGACACCGGGGTCGGCAAGGGGACAACACCGTGACGGGAACGGCGGGGACACCGGGCTCGGGAGGGACACCGGGCACGGGGAGGACACCGGGCACGGGAGGGACACCGGGAGCGGGAGGGACACCGGGAGCGGGAGGGACACCGGGAGCGGCTCCGCTCCCAACGCCGCCGTTTCCCACAGGGACACCCCCACGGAGAGACCCCCGGCCTGGCCGCGGGGGTCCCGGCACCGTCACGGGCAGGTACGGACCCCTCGGAGCCCGGGCCCGGCGCCGCTCCCGGTGCCGGTGCTCACCGCGGGCCCGTCCCGCCGCAGGGACCGAGCTGCGACATCTGACGGCACCGGAACCGGAGATGGAGCTGAGACCCCCCGAGGACCCTCCAGAACCGCCCCTCGGACACTCCCATGGTCACTCCCATGGTCACTCGCTCGGCCCCGCGGCCGCGGACATCGTGTGGATGGTGGTGCTGGGGGATGGGATCCACAACCTGACCGACGGGCTGGCCATCGGTGCGGGCGGGACCGGCACCGGGGACAAGGGACCGGGGACAGGGACAGGGGATAGGGGACCGGGACCAGGACCGGGGACAAGAGACGGGGTTACAGGGGACAGGGGACCGGGACCAGGACCGGGGACAAGAGACGGGGTTACAGGGGACAGGGGACCGGGACCAGGACTGGGACCGGGACCGGGGAAAGTGACAGGGACAGGGATGGGGACGGGGACAAGAGATGGAGACAAGGATGGGGACGGGGACCGGGACCAGGGACAAATGACAGGGACCGGGGACGGAGACAAGGGATGGGGACAAGGAACCGGGACCGGGGACAGGGATGGGGACAAGGGATGGGGACGGGGGTGATGACAGGGACTGGGACCGGGACCGGGGATGGGGATGGAGAGAGACGGATACATAAGGACAGGAGGAAAAAGTTTTCTCAGGGACAGAAGGACAAAGGGACGAGGGGACAGGGGGACAGGAGGACAGAGGGACCAGGGGACAAGGGGACAAGGGGACAAGCGCCGCCTGTCCCCGCAGGAGCCGCCTTCTCGCACGGCCTCTCCAGCGGGCTCAGCACAGCGCTGGCCGTGCTCTGCCACGAGCTGCCCCACGAGCTGGGTGAGTCCCTGTCCCTGTCCCTGTCCCCTGTCTCTGTCCCCTGTCCC